AGCAGGATCTCAAAGTCATCCTGAGGGTTCCTGGTGGAGATATCCAGAGCCGCCCTGTGTTGGAGATCCATTGTGATCTTTATGGTACTAATATTCCTCCTCAGGCATGTCACACACTCCTTCTGTCTCTCACACACACACACTCCGTGGCGTCTACATCTACAGGCAACACAAGTCAGAGAAGAAGTGAGCTGCTGAGAACACACCTCTCTTTGTCTCTCTGAGTTATTGTGTCGTTCAACTGCTGTCACACACACACACACACACACACACACACCTTCCTGTTTCTGTCGCTCAGCCTGCGATTGATCCTCCCTCCCTCCCTCTCTCTCTTTCTCTCAAGCATTTTCTCTCACATCATTTTGATAATCCAGGTTCCCGCTGGGTGTGCGGGGCAGACCGGCACAGAGAGGTGTACAGTCTGTTGGTGGTTCGGTGCTTGTGAGGGTCAATGAACACAAAGGTTCTTTAAAATAAAAAAAAATGTATATATTGTTTTGCTTTTTACATTTTTTCTATGCCATCATTGTGAGGACATCTGTGCCGGTCCTCACACCTTCACAGGGCCGTTTGAGGGTTCAGACTTGGTTTTCAGGTTCGGGTTGGACTCGGGTTGAGGTCAGGGTTAGAGCTGGTGTTAGACATTTAGTTGTGATGGTTAAGGGGGTAGGGCATGCATTATGACAGTGAGTGTTCTCACAACTATGGTAAAACAGTAAACTGAGTGCATGCACACACACACGAGCACATACTTTAGAAACCTTAGTCTGTAGTTTGTAGCTGATCAAGTGCAGTTGTGCTGTTTGGGGTTTTCACCTTAGGTTTCACTCTCAGCTTCACGCCTACTGAAGTGTGTGTCTGCATCTGTGCTGCCACTGTGCAAGAGGAGTTGCTCGTGCTTGGAGCTCCCTGTCAGCTTCCTGTTCAGAAGCACTTCCCTGCAGATAAATAAGGGGCACCCGCTGCGTTCTGTTAACCCCTTACATCTGGGTAGAATGACCTGTACCTGTGACCCCTCACGCCCCTCACACTGTGGACACAACCTGTTCCAACTCCTCCCCTCCAGTGGGCGCTATACAACACTGCACACCTCTGATCAACTGTTAATCAGCAGCGTCCGCTCTACCAACAAAACAAATTCTATTTCTATTACTTCTAAGCTCACACTATGTAATAATGTGTACATCATCCATCACTTGTCAAATCTAAGTTGGAGCAGGCTGTAAGTTGTTGTGCTGCTCACACAGAGCTAGGACCCAAAATGCAGACAAGGACTTGGTAGGAGCTAGAAAGTTTTCTGTCAAAAGAAAAGTGGACAAGAAACTGGAGCATCACTGTGGTACAGGAGGCTTCAGGAGAGCCAGACAGACAGGAGCGAACTGGGTGGAACTGCCGGACCAGGAACACACAGGTGGGTCACGCAGCCGGGAGTGAACCGAGGAAAACTTGTTGGGCAGGGAACACACAGGAAGTAATGCAGGACAGGAGACCCCCCCCCCCCTCGACAGAGTCGCTGGCTGATCAGGAGTAAACCAGGCAGGAACAAGGAACACAGGCAAACAGGACAAAAGCAGGCGTGGTGAGCCTCGTGAATACAGAGATCAGAAAGAGCATTGTTGTCAATACGCTGGCATCAACGATGAGGGAACGGAGGAGGTATTTATGGTGTAGACCGGGAGGTAATGAGGAACAGGTGGGGCAGGTGAAATGACACAGGACAGGAAGTCAAAGAAAATAAAAGCCCTCTGAACAGGAAGCAGGAGTTTTCTCTCTCTGCCTACTTGCATGTTCTTATCTTTTACTTAACTTAAAATGCATCTATTTTTCCAAATATATTTATGTTTATTTATCTCTTCTCCACTTTGTTGCTCTTGTCCATGAGTATCACCTGAACACTGGTACCAGGTGAAACATCCCTGAACAGTTGAGCTGCTTCTGATTCTGCAGTGGTAGAAGAAGTACTCAGACTGTTTACTCAAGTAAAAGTAGTAAAACCACAGTGTAAAATACTTTGCTACAAGTAGAAGTTCTGCATTCAAAAGGTTACTTAAGTAAAAGTACAAAAGTATTAGCATCAAACAATACTTAAAGTACTAAAAGTAAAAGTAGTCATTATGCAGAAAGGCACATTTCACATTAATGTATATCATATTATTAGATTACTACTGATGGATTATTGTGTACATTTACTGTTTGAGCTGGTAAAGGTGACACTGATGTTAACTACCTTACATATTTAAAATGTAAAGTACTTTACACACCGCTGGGAACTTTTTGAATTTCCCACCAGGGATCAGTAGAGTCTGATAATTATAGTGTGTTTTGTTTCATTGTTCTGATTCTGAAAAGTAACTAAAGTTATCAAATGCATGTAGTGCAGTAAAAACTACAGTATTTTCTTCTAAAATGTGGTGAAGTAAAGACAAAATGAAAACACTTCATGTACAGACACCTAAAAAAATTGTACTTGAATGCAGCACTGGAATCAGTGTACTTGGTTTCTGTTCACCTCTGATTTAATGCATTTAAATCTTTTTTATTTACACATGTAGGACACAGGAACAGAGCGAGCGGCATGGTTACACGCCGGCACTCTTAGCCAACCGGCAGCATCTTACAGCACACTGATGTTACTAGACTCCCAAAAATCAAATTAAATACTTCCTGCAGATGCCTTCAAAATGAAAACGGGTGGAAGAAAAGCAGCATGAACACAGCGCACTGACAGCAGCAATGTAAGTGAGACACCCTGTCACTGAGGCTTGATCCAAATTAAGAAAAGGAAATGAGCAGGAGATGAAATGAAAACAGCTGTTATAGGCACAGATCAGTGAACAGAGCCACGCTCGCAGCCTGACGCTCTACTGAGCTCCACACAGCGCTCCTTGGACTGGCTTCTGACATACGGCGTAGACTGTGGCACCTTATATACACAGATGTTTCTAAACTCTGTCCAGTCAGTTCAGTTTGCCACAGACACTTCACAAGGAGAGTAAAGCAAACAGGATGCACCTGACCACAGCAGATGCTCTGAGTACTTTAGAAAATGAGACGTTCCAGTGGTTTCTTCTCAATAAATGTGCAATAATCTGTAACAACCTGTCTTCATTTTGTCATTATGGGTTACTGGGTGTAGGCCGATGGGCAAAAATGGCTCTTTTATTATTTTAAATCAAATCTATTACGCAATATCCTGTGCAAAAAGCGAAGGGATCTGAATATTCTCTGAAAGCCTTGTAAGTGAACCTTATGGCAGCACTAGAGGAAAGGTCAGGGGATCACAAGAGCTATTAGGATCCATCCTCTGTGGATCATGAATGTTTATACAGAATCTCACAACAATCTGTCCGACAGTTGTTGAGATCTTTCAGCTGGAAAAGCTGTGCCACCACCAGGGCTAAAATCCTGCCTGACGTCTTCCATGAGAGCCAGAAACACAGTGACATCTCATAAGAAACAGAGAGACAGATGCAGACCTTTGGGTAGAACTTTGTGTCAGCTACTATGATGAACACACTGATCTGAAAAGACCTGCACCCATTAAGATGCACTGTGAGGACTAAAAAGAAAATAAATCATCTGCAAGTGTTAGTCACTGATCATATAATGACACCATCTTCACCATTTGACATTTATCCTCCCTGTGCTCTGCAGAGAACTTGGCATCCTGCCTACACACTCCTATATGTCATGTGGCTCACACACACCCACATGTGACAGACACACAACACAGCCCAGTTAGCCACAAATAACTGCCTCAACCTCAACTGAGCCTTGGAAGCAGAACTGATGAGGTTATTAATAAATATAGGGACAAACCACCCTCCAACGTCTTCAGCAACTGAACAACTAAAGTGTGAAAGTAAAAGTAGCACCAGTGTTTGCTGACTGAATACATGCAGCAAAGGGGTTTCCATTTACTATTATAGTGGACAATTTTATGTCACGCCATGTTGTGTTGTTATGTAGGTATCACAGACACTATGTTAAATGAGTGCACTACGTAAATAGTTTTATTGCTTTCGCACTTGGGGATTTGGGGAGTTTCACTCACCTGCCTCAGCAAGACAGTGGTTCCTCACAGGCTCCAGCAGAGCCTCTCTGCAGCTGCTCCTGTCCTCTGGCCTCCCTGGGTGGAGTTAAGTGGAAAAAGAAGCTTGTTGTCATGATATCTTTGTGACTGTGGGAAAATGTCAGACACACAGCACAAAATTAAAGTTCTATTTCTGTTGTGGTGCAGGTGAGTGCACGGACGAGGTGGTGTTAGAGTGTAAAAGGTGATAATATATGGATAGCCTGAGGGAACCAAGCAAAACAGAAAACATCAAGTGCTCCCTAGTTTGCTTCACAGCACAAAAACATACTGCACAGCTGTGTGCAAAGGTTTGGCCACCCCTGGGCAAATGATAGTGCTGGTGATTTCTGAAGTGAAAAGAAGAAAATACAAGCTAACAGACATAAGTGATCCTTTCTTCAAATGTTAATACACTGTTAGTTTTCAATTAATGAACCTGAGAAATAGGAATAATGTCAAAGTGGCATGTGCAGACGTTTGGGTGCCCTTCTTGTAAAACACTCAGAAGTTCATTAACTCATTAGGTCTTAAAATGCAGCTAAAGAACCAGAGACTCTGTCTTTCTGCCCAGCAGATGTTGTCTGACCGATCTGTGTGGACTTCCACACCTCCCTTAACTGCCATTCACAATGACTTTTCACATAGTGCAAATGTCAAGCTGGATGTGCTCTGATATCTTTTTATCATCTCCCCTACTCTCTAGCACAGATTAGCCTCATTTTCAAATCCTCAGTCTGTTGCTTCAAGGTCCCCCTGTTTATTGAGGTTTGTCAGCAACAACAATGCTCTGACACCTGTGAAAACGTACTAAGGTCATCCGTTGTGGCTTGAGGTTTCTCATACTCCACCTCAATCATGACAGTCTGTAGATGTTGGAGCACTGAGCCTGAGCCTGAGACTGAGACTGAGACCCTGGCAGTCTTCAAAACACAACTTATTACTGAAGAAAAGTGAACAATAAAATGAAGCTGCCTACTCACTTTCTCAACTTCTATTACAGTACATCCAATGTTAGTGGCAATTTCTCTTAGGGTGGAAGTTATGTTAACGGTAGTGTAAGAAACGGATCAGTGGAGAGTTTACTGCCCTCTAGTGGTCAGAACATATTCATGAGTACAATCAGCCGACTTCCTTTACATACTTTCAAAATACAGTGACAAAACTAAACGACTCATAAAAGAAGAACTAAATCGAATACAATTATTACGTTGATGATGAATACACTAATCTGAACGGCTACGATGAGTAGTCAAGTTAGTAGTTAATAGTGTTAACGAGCAAAGCTACCAAAAGATGTTTATAGAGAACGACCGGAAATACCTCGCAGCAGTCCCTCGATAGTTTGGGTCCGTACAGTTTCCGGTGCGTCGTTTTCTCCGCTCCGACCCTTTTCTTCCTTCGCTCCGGAGCCTTATCTACTCTGTGGCCCACGTGTGGAGTTATTTAGGTTTTTATATCAAAGTTTGCTGTTTAAGTCTGGACCAAATGGCCTCGTCTTTCGAACAGATGCGGGCGAACGTGGGGAAACTCCTTCGAGGAATCGATAGGTATTGATGATCCATATAACGGATCGATAACCTGGTGAAGCTAAGTGTAGCTTAGCCTGTTTGCTAATGCTTTAAGCTAACGTTTGCCGAGTTAAAGAGTTAAAAGGGAACTTCTTTACAAAAGCTTCAGGTTATGCATCAAGTTCGGGGGTGGGTCTGACAGAATTTTAGAGCTGCTAGCATTTTCCCATGTAAACGATCCTAATTAACAACATAAGATTTTCTGTTAACATTCTGTAGTATTTGCTCATTTTAACGATCCCTAATGAACTTTTGATTAGATGAAGATGATATTGTCAGGAATGTTCTAAAATATTATATTGAAAGCTGGTGAGTAAGGCAGACTGGATCGTAGTTGATTAATTAACAAGCTAATTGTGGTTATTACAAACGTAAAGGAAAATGGTGTTGCTGGGACATTTGCACCGTTTCTTTTGTTCTCTGTAATATTGCTTTATTCATTTCTAAAGTCAAATATCAAAGTTGTTTCCTTTTCACAGCTGCGTTCACCCAACTCAGTAGTTGCACAGATGTTGACAGATTTAACTTGAAATAAGATGATGGACTTCAGTTGAACCTCACAGGAGAAAAAGGTGTCATCGATGTGGGGAAGAGTATGACAGTCTTGCAGATCTATGTTAGAACCAGATTTAGTTTCATAATATGTTGTCTGCTACTAATTAATGTGGCCAAGATTTAGTCATTGACTTATTAGTCACTTTGCTTGAGGTGCTAATGATTAAACCAGATATACTAAATTATAAGTCTTAAAAACATCTAACACACATTGTTATGTCACAAAACACTTAAACCACCTGCCTTCACAGGTACAACCCAGAAAACCTTGCAACACTGGAGCGCTATGTGGAGACACAAGCTCGAGAAAACGCCTACGACCTGGAGGCCAACCTGGCTGTCCTGAAGCTGTAAGTCAGTTACACTGTCACTGTGTACGTTCAGATGTAAGCAGACAGGGTCATTTGTGTGATTGAGTAGTCACTTTGAAAAACATAAACCAAAACTGTGAGAACATTTTGTTGTGACTTCCTGGTGACTGGGGAATAATGAGTTTACTCTTGGTTGTTTTAACTTCAGTGTGTGTTAGTGACATTAACAATAAAGGGTGTGTTTGTGTCTTGCTGTATTGTCAAGCTTACCCTCTGTTTTGGTGTTGCAGTTCATTTCTTCTGTAGGTTTACAGTATAGTTTTGACAAAAGCAACATGAAACAAATGTTAGCTTCCACTTCATATCATTCAAAGCAACTGTTTAGTAAGATATGTCCGTGACCTGCAGTGTTCAATGAAGATGGCTCTAATCCTGAACTCTGCAGGTACCAGTTTAACCCAGCGTACTTCCAAACTCAGGTGACCTCACAGATCCTCCTGAAGGCTCTGACCAACCTGCCACACACTGACTTCACCCTCTGCAAGTGCATGATCGACCAGTCACACGTATCCTTTTGGTACCATTTCGTCTAGTATGTGACTGTTGTACCAGCTTCCTTCACTACGGGGTATTTACTGTGTGTTTGTACTGTGAAACACAGGCCCTTGTTGAGTTTTAGTGTCACTCTTTTATACTGTGAAGTGCACATTTTGAATAAACTCTGTGTGTTGGCAACATTTTTGGTAACCTGGTCTGGTTAAGGTTGATCTGAAATGGCTGCAGGATACAAACGTTACTGTGACTTCTGACACCTCCACCTGCGCCACGCCATGCAGTGGAAAAACGGCTGCACTATTCCAGCTGCTGGCAGCCGTGATGTCTTTGTACGTGCTGTCAGTGTGTAACCACAGTGGCTGAAATGTCAAAGTTTATTGCTAGCATGAGCAACATCACATTAACTAGACAGCCCCCAGAGAGTTCCAACCTCCACCAAGGACAAGTTAGTTTCCTGCATAATTCCATTATATCTAGAAGCAATATTCTCATAATATGACCGCTTGACCATGAAACTCACTGCAGTTAAAAATACAGCGGAAAGGCAAAGTAGGACATCCACATCACAGTTGAGGGACAGTGGAAACACAGCTACAGTATAATGTGCAGCTGGAACAGCGGTGTCCTCGCCAACAGACCACTGTGCTCTGAACGAGATGTAGCTGCCTGCTAACAGAGCTAGCTTGGTCAGATTATGAGCACTCGCATCTCCACAAATTTTGGAACAAATTTCAAATTGGCATTACTTGGACAGACTGACCACATATTCTCAGTCTAAGTGGTCACTTTGTCAAAACTTAATAAAGTGGCATAAAACCAGTCTTACAGATGAAAATGTTAACAGCTCTGAGCCTGACTCCAGGGCTCCTTCAGTCCCAGTCTCACACAGCAGGGTGGACTGAGTGGCAGCACTCGATCTCCAATGACAATGAGTGGCAGCTGTCACTAACTCTGGGCTTTGTCTCTGTGCTCAGAATGCTCAGCAGTGCAGCTGTGCACTTTGACCTCAAGGGGGCTCACATATAGCCAGCAGCCTTTCCAGCACTCACAGTGGTGAAGAGTCATTTAAAATATTCCTGTATCCAAGTTATGAGACAGATCAGAACCTAAATCTAATCAGTTGTGTGTGGGGGCCACATTCTACCTTACTTTTTGAATTATGCTGTTAACAACTACATAACAAATTCTGGCAAAAACATAACCCTCACCCTCTCCTGTGGTTATGTAGTGCATGTGATGTGTGATAGAACAGATACACTGCATGTATTTGGGGTTGGGGGGTGTTTCCTTGACTACAGTGTCGCAGCAAGAGGAGCGTCCCATCAGACAGATCCTGTACCTGGGGAACCTGCTGGAGACGTGCCACTTCCAGAGCTTTTGGGTACACACACACACAAAGTTGCAATTGTATAGCGAAGTACTCTTACTAAATTAAGGCAACTGTTCATCATATGTATGTGGGCGTCAGGTTTATACCGCTCCTTTTAACCAGAGTAAATTTTAGCATTATCTAACAAAATGCAGTTTGACAGTTAACTGTTGTTCCTGGGACTAACAGAAGAATGGAAAGGTACCAGGTTTTACACTAATGACTGGTCCATCAGATGCTCAGCCCAGGACTCCCTTGAATGTAACATCCCTGTCCTCCTTGTTTTGTTGCCTTTTGTACCTTCCTCTTCCTAAATGTGTGAAACTGTTTGGTTGGTTTCACCGAATCACGTCCTCTTCTCTGTCTCGCTGACAGACGAGTCTTGAGGAGAACAGAGAGCTCATCGATGGCATCACCGGCTTTGAGGATTCTGTCCGCAAGTGTGAGTATGACCTTCTGACTCAGCACGTGGACTGAGTGGCAGCACTCGATCTCCAATGACAATGAGTGGCAGCTGTCACTAACTCTGGGCTTTGTCTCTGTGCTCAGAATGCTCAGCAGTGCAGCTGTGCACTTTGACCTCAAGGGGGCTCACATATAGCCAGCAGCCTTTCCAGCACTCACAGTGGTGAAGAGTCATTTAAAATATTCCTGTATCCAAGTTATGAGACAGATCAGAACCTAAATCTAATCAGTTGTGTGTGGGGGCCACATTCTACCTTACTTTTTGAATTATGCTGTTAACAACTACATAACAAATTCTGGCAAAAACATAACCCTCACCCTCTCCTGTGGTTATGTAGTGCATGTGATGTGTGATAGAACAGATACACTGCATGTATTTGGGGTTGGGGGGTGTTTCCTTGACTACAGTGTCGCAGCAAGAGGAGCGTCCCATCAGACAGATCCTGTACCTGGGGAACCTGCTGGAGACGTGCCACTTCCAGAGCTTTTGGGTACACACACACACAAAGTTGCAATTGTATAGCGAAGTACTCTTACTAAATTAAGGCAACTGTTCATCATATGTATGTGGGCGTCAGGTTTATACCGCTCCTTTTAACCAGAGTAAATTTTAGCATTATCTAACAAAATGCAGTTTGACAGTTAACTGTTGTTCCTGGGACTAACAGAAGAATGGAAAGGTACCAGGTTTTACACTAATGACTGGTCCATCAGATGCTCAGCCCAGGACTCCCTTGAATGTAACGTCCCTGTCCTCCTTGTTTTGTTGCCTTTTGTACCTTCCTCTTCCTAAATGTGTGAAACTGTTTGGTTGGTTTCACCGAATCACGTCCTCTTCTCTGTCTCGCTGACAGACGAGTCTTGAGGAGAACAGAGAGCTCATCGATGGCATCACCGGCTTTGAGGATTCTGTCCGCAAGTGTGAGTATGACCTTCTGACTCAGCACATCTGTGGAAGAAAGGCAGAAACATTGACAACCAAATCGACAAGATCCACACCACATGAACGAGTCTGTTGAAACCTCATCGTGACATGAATGTATTCTGTTGTTCAACTGGCCTTTCTCTTCAGTCATCTGCCATGTGGTGGGAATCACCTACCAGACCATTGAGCACCGGTTACTGGCGGAGATGCTGGGAGACCCGCTGGGTGAGAGCTTTGACCTACAAAACACAGCTCATGTTTAATATTGTGCTCTGGTCTCTGGGCACGTTCAGTCAGTGTGACACACATGATTGAATTGGTGTACTGAGACAGCAGGTTCCCTCTTCAGAACAGATGAACTGGTTTCACTTAAAGCTCCACGAGTCAGTATGTAGATTTAACCAGTGAAGCAAATTCACACACAGAGATAAACCTAACTGATCCTCCCTCCTGCGTTGGTGCAGACACTCAGGTGAAGGTTTGGATGAATAAGTATGGCTGGACGGAGAACGAGGATGGACAGATCTTCATCTACAACCAGGAGGAGAGCATCAAGCCCAAGAACATCGTGGAGAAGATCGACTTTGAGAGTGAGTGCTGCCGCGCACGCTGACGAGTAAAACAGTAGCAACTCTGGTGACAAAGGCTACAGGATGTGTCAGGTGGATGTTGATCACCAGAGTCTGTACAGCCTCTTTTAGGGAACTAATGCTAGTTTTTGTACCACTTCTTTATTTTGTTTTTTATTATTTTTATTTTATTGTCATTGTAACACGTACAATGAAATTTTGTTTGGAGCCGAGGGGCCCCTGGCCGCTGCGTGCATTCGCGCCGCCATTCTTGCTGCAGTTTGTCTCTGGTTTAACACGACTAGTTACTTCTTTCACATGCGCTTTGAGGCCAAATGTTTGATTTGTTGAAATCTGAGACAATTCAGCCTATAGTTAGACTGACACTGATGGACTTCCCTGTATTTTATTGCTTCTTTATTAATTGGCTCAGACTTACTGAATAAGGTCAGTGCAAAGTCTAAGATGTGTAGTAAAAATCACGGCAGGTCTTGGTTGTTGTCACTCATCCTACTTTCCACAGTGACCCTGAATGTTTCCACCGGGAATATAACTATGCTATATTGGTAGTTCCATGCTGGGCTGCGGTGGCGCGATACGTTGCAGTGACAGCGTGTAAGCTTGTTGATGTTTACTACTTGAGTTGTGCTCGGGGTTATCGTGGGAATGAGTTCATACCTTGTAGATTTGACAGCTGGAGCAGTTCTGCAGTTTGTGATTTTGAGACACCAGTAAAACCTGCTCCTCTTTGGATTATATTTGTGCCCGTGAGTCGTCTGTGAGCAAAAGGGTTTCTCAGATTTCACCAGAGATCCTGAAACAGTCAGAATGGACATAACTACACTGTTTGCAAAGTTGAGGGAGTGGCACATACAGTATATGGCTCCATTTCCACAGTAGTAATGATTTACTAAACATTTCTAATGTTCTTTACACAACTAACATAGTTTCACATTCTCAAATCTAAGAACATGTTCATTGTCATAGGGAGAAAAATATGAAGCCAGGTCTTCACATTCCAGCGTGTCCTGTTTCCCAGGAATCACATCAGAGAACCAACCATCCTGGATTAGTTTTAATTGGCTCAGACTTACTGAGTAAGGTCAGTGCAAAGTCTAAGATGTGTAGTAAAAATCACGGGGCGGGGGGTTTGTTCCCTGTAGTCATGGAGACGAGGCCAGGCCTTGTGATGTCCACATCTGGTTTGTTTGCAGAGGCTGGTGTTTGTGTTGCTGTCTTTAGCTGAAACAAAGCAGAGCAATCGGCTGAGTTCTGTGTTTGGTTGGAGCGATACTGCTCCTCGATGCCTGGAAGTGAAAGTTGGTTATTAATTATGAATATTCTGAGTTCTGAATAAAGCATCTCTCCCAAATGTCTACTTTGGACTTGTGGGCACCGCACGAGTAAAAAGCTGGTTGGGAGTCATGGGACTCGGACGCTGCTACAAGGACGTATCCCTCTGCTGCAGTGCAGCAAGGCACTGTTACTGTCCAGGGAAATAAAGAAACACTGTTACTGTCCAGGGAAATAAAGAAACACTGTTACTGTCCAGGGAAATAAAGAAACACTGTTACTGTCCAGGGAAATTCCTCTTAGACTGTCTTTGAAAGATACTGACTTGAATCAGCTCAGTGGCACAACAGAAGCTGCATTTGAACCTCAGATGAACTTTGCAGTGAGTTTTCACACAGGAGGACAGTTGTGTATTGTGACCCGTGACTTTTGCAGCGTAGTGACGTTCAGGGTCAGCGTGGAGAGTAGCAGAAGTGACGCCTGTTCTCATGTACCATGTACACACAGCTTCTCAAATATGGAGATGTACTGATTAGGGGTCAGAGCACCGGCCGTGTAGGACCCTATTCTTTCTTGATGGCGTTTTTATTTTATTTGTTTCTTGTTGGGAAATTTTTAACTTTTCATCTGTTGTTCAAACAAAACAAGCAGTTTGAACTTGCACTTGTGATGGCGGGTTCCTGATCTCATTTCTTGGCCTAATCAGTTGATTGAAAATATTCATAAGGTGACGAAAGGAGCTGATTTACAAAATCGTAGCAACCACGTGGATTTATCTCGGTCAGTCCGTCTTGTACAGAAGGCCACATGTCTGCTATCTCAGTGTGTTTGTTTATTTGTTGTTGTTGTGATGCGGAGGTGAAGTCAAAGGTCATATTGTTCCATTTATCTGTTCACAGGTGTATCCAGCATCATGGCTACATCTCAGTGATACACCAGTCGTGATGGAGTCAACAGGTCATTTGTTATCATAGTCACTCTCTTCTCATTAAAAGTTATTTATCATTTACAGCCTGTGTGTGCTGACCTCTGGTCACATTTATTGCTTTCTTACTAGGAAATTCACCCGAACATGTTGAGGGAACATTTGCCAGCTCTTCCCAGGAATGAATCGGCAAACTTGTTTAAACTTTGGTATCAAGCTGTTTGCCGTCCGCTTATGCCACATAATAAAAGTTGATCAGATCCAAGGCAGCCACAAATAAAGCCACTGTTTAATCAGCATTAATGTGTTACAAATTAATGCTGATTAAACAGTGGCTGATTAATGTGTTATGTGGGGAGGATCTAGTCTGTGTGTAAGCAGAATGACACATTTTCATGAGGTTATTACCAGGAGAGAACAATATGAGTGTGTTTACGTGCGCACTGGTATCCTGGTTGTGTGTTGTGCTGGTGTCAGAAACCTGGCTATGGTCTTATTCCACCTATGAGAAATCTGGAGTGCTGTGTTCCAAACCAGGACACTGTGGCATAGGGTTGTCAAAAAGAATGCATGTAAAAAGAAGAATGCGTTATATAAGGAATTCATAAAGGACAGATCAAAGAAGGCGGAAGAAAGATACAAGTCATACAAGAACAAACTGAGATTTTGATGAATGTAAGAAACTATATTACTCTAAATT